TCGCTTTCTCTTGCAAAAATCTGTTATATAACAGCAATTCATATTATTGTTATGACTGGTAAATTGAAAACAGCAATTCATATTATTGTTATGACTGGTAAATTAAAATAAGTAAAATACTTTGTTAATGTCATGTAAAATTTCAATTTTCTATGACTTTTCATGACTAGAATTGATTTTCCAGGATTTTCAGGCCTGGATTCTGGAATATTGAAATTCCATGACTTTCCAGAACACGTACGAACCCTGTCTTGTGTGAGAAACACTTCACACCCGATGATTATATTAACCCATCGATTGCAATGCGCCCTACTTTATTATTTTACTATGTCTAACGCCAGACAATTTTACTCATCAAGGGGAGAGCAGTGGCACTTAATGGGTTCACTGGCCTATCTGCCCATGTGTCTAGTTAACCCATTGAGTCATTTTGTGCCTCATTTTATTATTTTACTCTGTCTAACGCCAGACAATTTTACTCGTCAAGGGGAAAGTGCTGACGCTTAAGTCAGCTGTCTCAAGGGGAGAGTGCCTGAAGGGGAGAGTGCTGGTTGTGGAGAGCAATCAATAAAAGGCCAATCCAACTTATCCAAGAAATATCTAAACGAAGATGCCGTCCCATCTATTTTTGATTATCAATGATGAATCAATCAGGTTTCTTGGAGAGAACTAGATACTGTGAAGGTTTTTGATGCATACCAGACAAATTAGTCAGTTTCTTCAAACTAGTTTCCATTGAAAACTTTCGCTGTCACTAGTTCTCTCTACAAACCTGATTGATTCATCACTTTTCACTGTCCAGGCCATATAGACTTGAGATCTCTTGACATCTGCAGCAGCAAGGAGGTTGTCAAAGTCACACTAAACAAAGCATCAGAATTTTCGCACCAGCAGACCAAATAAATCAAGTAAAATAGGTTTTAACTTCAAAATACTTCACAATATTATTCCCTGTTATATATCCCAACCGAGATCCTCGAGAAAAAAAGCACCCAAAGAACCAAAACCTTTATTTTCTGTAACAAAATGTCTCAAACTGCTCAACTGACTATGTGATGATTTTCAGATAACATTTAGCGATCGATTATTTCGTCTTTATTAAACTTAAATTGTACAAATATTCATCCAAAACCTTCACACCAGTTAGTTCTTGCCAAAATAAAGTGATAGAACGGGATCGGAAGCTGTAGGACGACGCAAAATGCGAAAAACATGTTTTTTCCCTATCTCGCTCTATGATTTTTGCCCGGTTGAGCCGCCATTTTGAATGCTCATGAGTGTCACGCGCGTGTGTTATAGCATATAGAAAACATTAGAGTCAGCAATCTAGGTCTCCTATATCTATGAACCCAACAGGTGGGCAATTTGTCGACGCTGACCAAAAATAGCGGCTCATTTCTTCTCGAGTTGCCATTTTCGCGTCGAAGAGTGAAAAATATAGACTTTCAGAGAATATTTTAGCTGTTTACTATCAAATATGTTTGTGAAACAGTTGATAATCTTACTGAGGAAGACCAACGGTTTCTGAAAAGCTAAAGTACGTCGAAATCCAGCTTTGAAATAGACTATATTTTCATCTGGGAAACATGAACTAAATGGATATTTACATCAACACTAGATTTTGCTCGTGCCTACAGTGCTAGTTGGATTAAAACAGATGTTAAGAAGTAAGTGAAAATCTGAATTTTGTGAATTATATTTTCATTAAAATGTTTCAAAAGGGCTGTTAATGCCAAACTACAAGTGTGACAGAGCTGTCAGTATACCCATATTTCAATGTTTATGTTGAAATGACCTATCTTCTTTGAGGTATAGCTTAAAAATTAGGGTATGCTCATCACTTGAAACTAGCTTTAAATCAAAGTTTTATCTATAGTCTTTTTATTAGAATTGAAATCATTAATGGGAAAAATGTGCCAAAGGGTTGAAATTGCCCTTGTAAATGTGCACTATTTTTGACATGTTTGGGTTAGTATTTTGAAAAGGTGTTCTGGAAGGAAAATATGTCTTGAACAATACTGGTTGACCCTTAAATTATAACTAGTGTCATGTAAATCGCAGAAAACTGAAAAAAATCTGGTCCATACACAATATTTTGGTTTCTATGAGGTCCCCAATTGGGCTTATTTCAATGTTGAATCTGTTTACCTGGAAAGACTTAGAAAGTTGAATAAGTCAAGAATTTGACTATGCTCATTATCCAAAACCAGGTTTTTCTAATTGCTTTTTTACCTGGGTTTGTGGCAATACCAGTTATGCGACCATGAAAAATGCGCGCGGCACTTTTTTTGGACGCTGAATATGGTGACATTTGATGTTGTCATATATTGCCATCCTCTTATCATAGCATAACTGAACTTATTTTAAAGTGCATATGAAAGAATTTTCCTTTTTTCACTGAAAAATCGGCCGTGGCGAGACGATTCGAATGATTTAAATCATTATTTGATCGGATAAAAACTTCCAGACATATTTAGCATCAAACATGCCAAAAAATAGGGTTTTTAAATCATGGCCGGGAGAAAAGAGGCTGGGTACAAATTGAGGTGTGTGACGTCAATTCGGGAACGGAAGTAATATGAGCTCTTGCTGTTCTGTATTGTTTTATATGAAAACAGTCGAGCACAAGCTACCGGAAAATTCGAGGAATTGTTTTATTTAGTAAGTTAGAACGATATGTCTACTTCTGAGTTATACTTGGACGAATCTTCTTCATCTGTTGAGTCAGAGTGTGAATCGCGTGGTGATATAGATGACTACGAACTTGAAGTGGAAGAATTTGATGTAGGCTGCTCTGCTTCGGCCTCGAATGAGGCAAGCGGCAAATCATGGGAAGACAATACTGTGACCGCGGCCGCTGCAGTTTTTCCCTATAGCGATGAACCCATTGCTGGTATAGAATAGATCGAAGAATACGAGAGAGAAAAGGAGAACGAAAAACTTCATGTTGAGGCTCTTAAACAGCGTTTAGATGGCACAATTGCTGTAAGTCAATGGTAAGCAGAACCATTCTCACACAAAACTAGAAATAGAATATGGCAATCAATTCCTGCTTTTGTTTCATTCTTTCCCGACAGGGCGGTTTCGCATTACATTTCGATTCAATTTTTCTAATATAAATATCTCGGCGAGTATTTACCCCCCCTTTTAAATAACTGCCACCACTGAAATCCTCATAAAATAACCTTTCGAACGGGGGGTCAAGTGCCGACAAAACATTACACAAAGCGAAACAATCATATATTTACTCACCGCTTGGCCAAAGATTCTAAATTTCATATCCACAAGATCTTGAATACCCCTTGACCTTTTCGTCATTTGCTGAACGGCTATACGTGTAAAATACTCTCTGTATTCAAGCGCTTTCGTGTAGAAAGTTTCGTATGTATACGCCGACTAGAAATATTTATTTTGAATTTTTCAAGATATTGGGTTTTACTCGCACTTGCGTACATTGCGCAATAATTGGCCAATAAGACGCTCCTTTGGCCGGGATGACGTCAAACTCACGCGTGTAGGTGTAATTTGACCTTGCGAATCCATTTCTGGCCTTTCCGGGGTCATACGATACAAACGCCGCATTGTTTTGACGGTTTTCAGTCGTATTTCCGGTTGGGATTAATCCACTTCGAGCTCACAGTCGGACAAGAAATGGAAATATATTGATAAAAGATACAGATTTGTAGATTCAGGGTTGCAAGTAACACTCCAAAAACACTATTTAATGGGGATTCGAACAAAACCATTACAAAGACGATATGTTCGATGGGGCCGAAGTTATTTTCGGCGAAAGGTATGGCTAGTCTATAATAATCTGTATTTTTGTTCAGACAATTGCACAATATGATCGTTTTGACTTTCAAAGGCCCATAAATCGTTACAATACTAATAATGACTATAACTATCGTTTGGAACTAATTGATATTTTATTTCTGAATCGAATGGTGGTATTTCTGTCTTCATAGCATGCACTGAACCGAAAGTATGAAATTTCGAGCCGTCGATCGCTCGCGATCGACGCGAATTGGGCCTGTTAATAATAATAATAATATTTAATATTTATATTGCGCAAATTAACATGTCATAGTATATAATCAAATGCGCATCACAAAACATAATTACACTAAAATTATTCTATGCTGAATGGTTACTAACTAAAAATATAAAGAAGATTATATAGATTATATGTTACATGAAGTATTTACATTAAAGGCTTCTTCAAAATAATAAGTCTTAACTAATTTCTTGAAAATACTAAAGTTATGCAGATTTCTAAAATACATAGGTAATTCATTCCAGATTTTTGGAGCGGAGGTTACAAATGCTCTGTCGCCGAGTGTTTTCTTTGTTTTTGTACTGTAGTCTTCAAGCAGTACACGTGCCTTCGTTAGATCTTAGACTATAGCACGATGTCTTTCTTACTTTTAAAAGATCGACAAGATAGAGAGGTGCATACTGATGGATACATATAAAAGCAAGCATGGCAATTTTGAACTTGATCCTTAATCGAACGGCAAGCCAGTGTAGTTTGATGAGAGTCGGAGTGATGTGATCATGTTTAGGGATAGAACAGATAAGACGTGCTGCTGTATTTTGCAGCCGTTGTAGTTTAGACAGATGTACATCTGTGACACCAAATGGAAGACTGTTACAGTAGTCTATCCTTGACATTATTAGTGCTTGGACCACAGACTTTCTATCTTGATAGCTTAAAAACTTTCGAATACGTCTAATGTTATGAAGATGATATACTACAGATTGACAAGTCTTATTTATATGATGTGACATATTAAGATTGTTATCAAACCATACTCCGAGATTTCTGGCACACGATACTACTGGAACACTATCTTGACCAATGACAATACTAGAGATGTTAACCTTTTTGAGCTGAGCAGCAGTTCCAATTATTAAAAACTCTGTCTTCCCATCATTCAGTTTAAGCTTATCAACTGTCACCCAAGTCCTGATATCCTTGATACAATTCTGTAGTGCACATATTACATCAAGCTCATTAGTAGCACCACGTCCGGCTTAAAAGAAAGGTATAATTGAGTATCATCAGCATACGCATGCACGTCTGGCAGGTGACACTTAACTATTTCGAATAGCTTGCTTGCGTAGATTGTGAAAAGCAACGGACCGAGACAAGAGCCTTGAGGAACACCATGAGGGAGAGAGAAACTTTCGGAGTAGTTACCATTTATTAGCACACGTTGAGATCTGTTAGTTAAGTAGGATTTAAACCATTTAAGGGCAGTACCTGTTATTCCAAAGCTGACCTCAAGACTACGTAATAACACTTGATGATCTACAGTGTCAAATGCAGCACTCAAGTCTAAAAGTACTAGTAGTGAGACTCTTTGTTGGTCCATAGAGCACATGATGTCATTATGTACTTTTAGTAAGGCTGTTTCCGTACTATGACCAGCTCGATATGCTGATTGTAGGATTGGGTATATATCTGAACATTTAATGTGTTCAAGTGTCTGGTCACTTACAGCTCTTTCCGTCAGTTTAGAAAAAAACTGGAGATTACTGATTGGTCTTAAATTTGATAGCGATGCAGGTTGACCAGTTTTCTTGAGCCTTGGATCGACAAGGGTGAATTTCCAAGCAGCAGGAAAATAACCTAGCGAGAGGGAGGAGTTGGTCATGCAGGTAATGACAGGTAGCAGTTCATTTAGACTCTTGACCACGAGTGATGTAGTCATAGGATCTAGGGCGCAACTCTTCTTCGCTGATTTCTGAATAAGCTGGGACACCATGTCAGTTGAAAGAACCTCGAATTCCTCCAGACTTTGATTAAAACCAAACTTAGGGTCATTTATTAGTCGAGAACTATCACATTAATCAATAACCACAGCGTCAAGCTCTTTACGAATATTGGTGACCTTTTTATAGAAAAAATGGCCAATGTCATTCGCAAGTGATGTATCGTCAGAGTAATCAGGGAAGCACACTTCATCCTTCGGGTGGAGGAGGGCATTTGTTGCTCTAAACAGTCTATTTTGGTCATTTCCATTTTCGTTGATAAACTTTGCGTAGAACTCTCTGCGCGCCTTATTGCTGATGTACGTAACATGATTTTTCAGCCTTTTGAACAAGAGTAAGTCATCTTCTGCTTTGCTTTTTCTCCAAATCCGTTCTGCCTTGCGCCGTTTTCTCTTCGCTGCTGCAATGCCATGATTATACCAAGGGACCTGAGATCTAGCTTTTGCCTGTTGAGTAAGAGTTAAAATTAATGTAGCTTGTTAAGAATATCTCTTTATATAAATCTTAGGTGCAAATGTGGTAATTGTGATACGGCATTACTTCAAAATGTATACGAGTGTCAGTGTTGCCAAGAAACCCTAGATGCGTTGATAATTTACAATCTGAAGACGTCTTGCAAGATACAGGAACGCCACCGTCTTGTGTAACACACCATCCGGGGTTTAGAGTCAACTGTTTGGAGAAATGGTCACTCAGGATGTCCGCAAGTAAATATAGGACAAAAATATGTCGTCGAAGATATTGCCAAAGTGGTTCAGAGGAGTCGTAAGTATTAGACTTAATTTTGTTGCAGTTGAAAGAGACACAGCTAGACTATATACAGTATACGAAATAGAAAATGCCAGAAAATAACCCACTACAACCAAGCATATGCACACAATCTGATACCATATGCTGCAGGGTACAAAAAGAATGTAACTGCAAAGTTTTGATATTCATATGCAGCCGGAATGCATGCATATGACCTGGTAGTGGTGTGCTTCGATAGCTCTGATGCCGAGTTGTGTCGGTCATGTACGCCGCCCATCAACTAGTCTTTCAAGTAGTCTTGCTGGACTACTGTATTTGAATTGATGTCCACAGTTTGCTTATCATTGTGTTATCATCAAATTACTGTATCTCATCTTGTTTTCTGCTTTATCATGACAAATAGGCCCCCCCCCCCCCTCATAAAATATTTTACTTTTGGTAAAATTTCATCAATTTTGGTGAAAATTTAGTAAATTTTTTTAGTGAAGTTTTGGTAAAAATTGTGTTTGAATAGTATCTTGTGTAAACAGAGATGTTCAAGGTCCGTATGTAAACAAAGCCTTTGTTTACATTTCAGTATTCAAAATATTGAACTTTATTCAACAACTATTTATATTTTAATGCTTCTAACAGTATAATAAATGATCAAGACAACAATCATGCCTTGCAAGAACATAAAATAAATAAAAACCTAATTAAAGTGTTTATATCATGGCAGGAGACTCCTATGTGCTTTATTGCAGGAGACTCCTATATGATTGCACTTTTATTTTTGATCGAACACTTACATAATACTAATCAAACCTTATACTGTACATTGATCCAATATTCTATTATAGTGATCAACAATAATACTCTAATATATTGATCAACCTCTCCATGTTTATATTGTCACCACAGACACTTATCAAACTAGGGTGAGGGGAAATTAATTTGGTAAAATTTTAATCACTTGTGAATAAGTATGCTTGATGTGTTTGTCCTCACTTTATTGTATGCACACTTACATACTTTCTAATCTTTTTCAGGTTTTTGCGGTCCATATCATACCATATCATACAGAGAGTTTTCTCAACTTGTATTTGGAGCTCTTGGTAGGCTTAGAATACCATTACCAGCATGTGTTTACCAATCAATTCGAGCAAAATTCAGGGAAAATTCAGATATATTTACAGGCTTTGAAGAAGATACTGACTCTGACTAATAAACTATTTTATAATATACAGTAGAACATGAACTAATATATAGACATCACTGTTTGCTACACTTGGCCCCAATGACTTTGTTTCTATGTATGAATATTAACATATCCCATTCATGTTTCGTTCATGAAAAACGTTTCATTTTTATTTTGATCCAATCACAGCCCACCCTTATGCACCAAACAATGTTTTGCCTGACCCCAGTGAAAGGTGAGCAAATACATGGGCATTTGGCATTTTCAATCAAAAAACATTGAAAATGTCAAATGCCTTGTTTACTTGCCCTTCCTGGGCTCGGGCCAAACATTGTGCACAAGATCTACATGAGACAACACAACCATGCAAAAACACTCACAGCCACTGGACTGGGACAACAGTGCAACTAATAGTGCATGGTCTGTTGAATCATGAATATTTTTTTATACATTCATGAAAATATATTGTCTGCTTATTTGTATGACATTGCTAGACTTTTGTTACACTTAATGCTATTTACTTATTCTACCATGTAAAAACACTAATATATAGCCTGAAAACAGACCTCCATTTTGCCTCGCCAACCCGCAAGGGTTGCATTTGCTAGCCCACCTCTAAGCATCCCACCCGCAAGGGCGAGCAAAACGAAGGGCCATGTTCAAGCTAACTAATATACAGTATATGTATATATATATATATATAAAAGTAGTCATTTGTTGCTATGCTGGTTCTTTGGACAATCCAAAACATTTTTATGTCCTTTCATGGGTTTACCACACAAGGTGCAGTGGGGCTCCGCTCGTTGGCTTGTGGGGTTTTCAACAATTTCAGACACTATAAAAATAATTATATAATAATTTTAAAAATTATGACGTTGATGAACAATGGCAAAATCTATTTGTTCAGTGGCGTAGCCAGCCCGACAATTTAGTCCCGCTATGCAAATTCAAAATTATTATCATTATTCATTTCTTTGGAAATTTATTTTTTTCACAGTCAATGAACACGAAAATATTTGCATAGCGGGACTAAATAGTCTGGCTGGCCACGCTATTGTATTTGTTAATCAATTAGGCACAAACTTGATGGCACTCTGACTGTTACTAAAGTCATTGGTATAATTTTCAGAGGGCTCAGTTGTGGAAATTTAGTCTGTAATGTATTGATAAATTCAAGTTTTGTACCTGCCGTGGTTGGAGGAACATCTTCTACCACCATGGCCTTTCTTTCAACATTCTTCTTGATGGCCTCTTCTCTTGACTGCTTCTCCATCATTGTGTTCATGAACTCAGGGGTAATTTTTTCCAAGTCTTCAAGTTCTTTCTTCAAATGATTGTTTTTTTGGCAATCAAGAAATGTCTCGTATTTCTCTTGGCATATCAAGAAATCTCTCGTATATCTACAAACCTAGAGCTTTTTCGTAGTATGTGAGACAAAGTAAAGTGACTGGCTAGGGCATTGAGGCTTAAAGGGTTAATAAAATAGATACAGTAATGCATATTAGTACCATAACTTACGAAAATCTGCTTCCACTTTGACACCTTTGACAGTGGCCTCTCCATTTTTGAATTTCGGATAGACAACAACAACTTGCTCGGAACCATCTGATTTCTTAATCTTATTATCTCGGTTCAGATTGATGTTGAAATGTATGGCTGCAAGGATGTGCCTAAATTAAAAAATATAAACAAATTATCCATATTCAATGCGAAAAGGAATTTTGTGTCTGCAGGGTTTGAATTAGCAGTGTATCATGTGCAATTTGCACATCATTATGGCCAAAATAAAAAAAAATTGTGCACACACATTTCTAAAAATGATATGCAAAAAAAATTTTAACTTATAGATGACCTCCATAGTTTCCTCCTATAGTTACCAATATATCCCTTAACTAATTCAAACCCTGTGTGTCAAAAGATGGAAAGAGTATTCATAATACAAAGGCCTTTTTTAGCAGGAGGTTAAAATTACAGTGCTGTACCTGATGTACATTCCAGGATATGAGAAAACAATCATCTTCGGTGCGAAGTGGTTAAGAACTGAGTGGAAGCCTTCAAGGCAACTTGTTTGGGCGATAGTTGATGCTTTCTGGATTCCAGACTTCAATCTTTTCTTTGTCAATACCTTCTTTACTTTCTCATACACAACTGACTCTAAAAGATATAGAGGATAGCATATTTTACATACATAGTACAGCATATTTAGACACTTCTAACCAAGGGCAGATTTTCATTTTTTTAAAAGGAGGGGTGGAAAAAACGAGAACATTTTTATTTATCTATGTTTCGACTATATTTCAGTCATCATTCTAGTGGGGTGGGTTTAACCCCCCCCCCTCCCCCAAGTAAATCTGCCCATGCTTCTAACATTTTCATGGTCACTCACTCTCATCCAACCATTTTCGATGTTCAATTTCAACATCATGGGCACACTTGTTGAAAATAGGATCTTCCAAATCCACATGCTTATCAACAACATGCTCCAGAAATGATTTGAATTTGGCCCAAATAACTCTTCCATCACCAGAAGAAGTAGATGTCGCACTCCAATGTAGGTGGTTCTGGCATGGTCATATCCAAGGTTGGATTTCTTCACAATTGGTCTCCTTTCCAATGTTAATCAGTACTTTACCAACTTCTATAAAAAAACATTTAAAATTAAAATCCAATAATGAAATGCTTCCACCTTGTTTCAATGTAGGTCTAAACAATCAGCACAAAGTGTAAACAAATTGCTAACTTCCTGCCAAAGGGCCTTTGCTTGAAACATTGACATTGTTAGTGTTTTAGGTAGCGATCCATTGGACCCAATTTGTTATACATGTCTTCTAAATAATCTGTAATGCAATACTTACTTTTTCTCAGGTGCCATAAATCAAAAAGTGCTTTATTTTCTGTTCTTTTTCCTTCATGTGCTTGGCAATTGATCCATGGCAGTCAGTGACAAGAGCCTCAAATGAGAAGTCAGACTCTGCCAGAAAATCCAGGCATTTCTGAAATGCCAAGTACTCCATTGCTTGACTGCTACCAGCTTCATTCCTCTGTTAACAATAAGAAGTAATAATAAAATTGTTTGACTCATTGCATGCAATTACACTCCTGTTAGGAATTTTGTTTTATATTTTTAATCTAATTGGGGACAACATTTTTTGTTTTTATACCTGGACAAGTGAGAAATCAATTATAGCAGGTTCTGTGCAACAAAATATTAGGGAGCTTTAGATTTGACTACGAGTACGACTACGAGTACGAGATTTGATCGCGTGCGAGGAAATTACCGTAGTCGTTTTCGTTTCCATTCAAATGTTGCTTTTATAACAGTGAACCAATAACTAGAGAAAAAGTTTCATAAACTAAATCTCCTGCCGACTAAAATCCCCTACAAAACGTGTAAATAAGTCATAACATTAAAAACAGGCCAGATATTTAGCACTAATATATATTATTTGCGCCAGATAAACGCTATATAAATGCTACAAATTATTTTTGGAAAACAAAAATAAGTCAACTTTCTTTGTTTTTTTTGAAAAGTCGTCGTGAGGACTACGAGGTTTCTCCACAATTTCGTACTCAGATGGGCGACGGCTACTACTTTTTAGCGTCAGTACGGGATGGCGTAAGCATACAGCATGCGTTTAGCTTGATGAATCTCGTACTCGTAGTCGTACTCGTAGTCAAATCTAAAGCTCCCTATTGTGTAGGCACAATACTTAGCACTATGCCCCATGCTATCATGCCTTCCATCTCCTAATACCAGAGGTTCTTCGTTGCTTTTTAGTTGGTCCATCAATGCTTTTTGGTATTTTTTCCAATGTTTCAGAATAGCTGGAAACAGTTTATCCTTCACATAAAAATAATAAAGATGAATAAGAATTAACCCATCAAGTGGTATCACTATCCCCCTGCCAAGTAAAATCTTATGGCAGTAAACAGTTAACAGGGTGCATGGGCAGTCTGAGTATTCCATTGAGTGGCAGCACTCTCCCTCCAATGATTAAGATTATTTGGTGTTAGACAGAGTAAAATAATAAAGTAGGGCGCATATGGGCACATTGCAAAGGGGAAAACATCAATTATTTTTATATACATTAAATTAAAATTAAATCGCAGCTGACCAATGCAATGAGTTACCAGTAACATGACAGTGTATATATGGAGAAATAGTCTCATAAATAAAGCCTCAACCAAATTCAAATCAATCCATAATATTATTGGACTTTTATCATTTACTTTATCCAATCAAATTTCAAGCCATTCTGTTGAACAGGCCTTGTGTTTAATAAGGAGAACTACTAAAAAAAATTAACACAAGGCAAGATCAACTGTAAATTTGACAAGTAAGTAAAACAATATTATGAATAAATTTGTTAATTAATAATACACAAACAAGATTGATGACACCAGCCTGCACATGGCCACTCATGATTAACTATCACAAGTGTTCTGTTATGTTAGGCACTGAGTCATTAAAAAGCAATGAATGTTAATCTCACCCTCTGATGATTGTAGAAGGTTCTCAGTGAAATGCATGACAATCCCATATGAGAAAGGACTCTCAGCACTTTGCTTGCAGAGGCTCCAGCCAACAAGATTGCAAAACTTAAGAGAAAGTTTCCTGCAGTTATTTTGGTTCCTTCCATTATTACCACATTGTGTGTGTACTGTAACCATTGTGCCACATTCAGTAGTTTCGACCAGTGGGTTATCAGCTTTGCACGATGGACAAATATTAAAAAGCAGTAACAGTTTGGAAAGGAACACTACATATTTGGGCTCTGTCTGAAGGTTGCCATTAGGTTTATTAGTGCTAAAAGACAGGATGTAAAACAAGTTAATTGAATGGCAATAACAGTATAGTTTACAAGCCTGATCAAAGGCTGTTGAGGCCGATTCACTGATCAAGTAACCACAAAGACTGACAGACATTGCTTTGCAACATCCGGCCAGGACACATGTGGATTATTTTTGTGTCCCACCAGGACACATGTGGATCATTTTCTTAACATGGCTTCTTATATTATTATAGTATAACTATGACATTTGTGATGTCCAGCATTAGTGAAAAGTGTCAGTCCAGAGGTGTCAGTCCACAGCACCACTCTCCATGGCACCCTTCAAAAAATATTTTTAGGCTTGATAGTTCACCAGTGAAAATATCACAGCAACAAAGTCATCTAAGGGCTATAATAGAAGATAAATGCCAAAGCAAATAGTAATAATTTATAATCTTATTTACCTGGTCTCGATATTGGATGATTGATCAGATTCCTCTTCTGCAAGTTCTGTTTCCATTTCATATTCCTGAGAACTTCCCTGAGATGGTTCATCATCTGTACTTTCTGAGTTCTCAACAGTTTCAAATTCCTCGCTGGTGCTTTGTGGGTTTTCTCCTGCAGACTTTTCTACTATTTCAATGAATTCAATCTCTAATAAAATACATACAGCATGGCATATAGTGACCAATAACTACAGTAGCATACACACTGTATTATCACAGTTAATAAATACAGTCTATAGCATACACACTGTATTATCACAGTTAATAAATGCAGTCTATACTGAGGTTAGCAATAACAGACATTATAAACATTCATTACAGCATACAAATTATATAATATATAAGATCTGATGTGGTGGGGACCATGTCTCTTGTATTAAAATATTAATTCAAGCCCAAGGAGCTTACTTGAACGTAATTCAGCGGTAATTTTCTTCTCCTTGATCAACTTATGATTCTCGTCCACAAGTTTATTACGAAGAAGTCTGTTTTCCTCTTGCATGGTGACACATTTGTCACACACGTGTGTGGCCATTGTTTGAGTGAATTTCTACTTTGTATCCGTTCATCGTCCTTTGAGGTCAAACAAAAACAATTGGTAAATTGTGGATATTATAAATCATACATATGGTGTAAACCAGCCTCACAATGTGTATTTATAAATATGTATTTAATAACAAAGCTAAGTTTGTAACAAACCGATTTGCGGTATGCAAATTTAATACAAAGAATTAAAGTGAATTGTTACATGTAAATATTTACCGAAACAATGCTTCCTGCTGCAGAGCTGCCATGATGCACAGTTTCCTCCATAAAAACATCTATTTCTCCCAACTCAGTTGATGTAGATGGCATAGATGTTTGTTGCTCTTCTGCGGTTGTTGCATGTTGTTCTTTCGTAATCTATAAAAGGGGTTTTTGCGGTAATCAATAGAAATATTGTGAGATTTATATCGTATTTATAAATATGCGAATGTTTTTCAATAGTGTCTCACCTTGCGTCTAAGCGCTCTTGCTGTTCTCTTTGATGTTGTATTATCTTCGTCGCCTTCATTTGCAATCGAAAGTGTTGGAAACGATGAAACACCGACTTCATCTTTTTCAGCCACAGAATGTACGTTGTTTCTTGCCCAGGCAAATTTACTTTGCGAACAAAGGCGTCCAGTTCAAAATGCCTCGAGCATATGCAGCTTGTACTGGAAGGCTCCCATTTAGCGCGTTTGCGCTTAACAAAATCGACCCAGCGCTTGCGTCGTTTTATCGCCTCTGGCCTCGAATCACCATCGTAAGGAATCTTGTGAAGTATTACACCGTTTTTCGGATCACAAGTGTTAGAACAGCCAAATACGACACAACGCGAAGGCATTTTACATTCGCATGCTTGGCCAAACAATAGTAAATTGATAGTAAATTGAAACTAGAACAATCACTTCTGTTCCCGATTTGACGTCACAAGCCTTATTCGGACCCAGACTCATTTCTCCCGGCCAAATATCTAAGAAAATATTTATCGGATAAGGGAATGCATTATATATTAGAATCGTCTTGCCATGGCCAATTTTTCAGTGAAAAAATGAAAATTCTTTCATATGCACTTTAAAAGTTTACTTAAGCAATATTACAGTAACGCCCTGAACTTGTGTTATGACACTGAGGATGCGAGGACATGGAAGACAGCGTGCGTTAAGTGCATGTAATACTGCCCGTAACCTCTTGACCGCTCCTTCTTGTTGTTTTTAATGTTTTTGTTGAATACGTTTGTCTTAATGTTTGTTGTATGCCTGTTAGTTGTATAATTGTTGTTTTGTCCAATGTCCACACACTTATTGTGTTGTATTTCTGTATCTAAACCATGTGTACGCGATGGCGCTTCGGAGCGTCTTTGTGTTGTTACTATAGCTGTTTACTGTTTAAATGGAGTTGCAAAAGTCTAACTTATATCAGCACAAAGGTCTCTGCAACGTTTCCGGCCGCACATGGTCTTCATATATTTATCATAGATTTGTTTATCATGTAATGGTTCCGCAGTAATTGGCCTAGGCTGTTGCGGTTTCCAGTCAATAATTTAAGGCAAAGTGTTAATAAATAAATAAATAAATAAATATCTGGCCAGATAGCAAAAAGCACTCTCTAGTGAACCCCTGGATGCAGAAGAACAATAAAATAGTGCAATTGCTGACAATTTATTAATTATTGAAAAAGGTTGAGCGTGATATCGAGACACAAGGCCAAGGTTGTCTTATCTACCAAAGTCGTAGCCGACTGATGCCTTGATAATTCTCGATATATCACACAACAATTATTTTAGTGCAATAGCTTTAAACCTCCTACGTTATGGTTTGATAATTTTAACTGACTTTTATAGGTAGTTCTCAACATTTTTTCATACTTTGCTGTTTCACACAAGCAATGATTTTGTCAGCAATTTTATCTTCCTGACGAAAGACGTGTGCAAATGAGTGAACTCGCGCACAAAAGTACGCTTTTCGTAAGTATACTTTCTAAGTCCTTTAAATGTCACTCATTCATTAGCAATCAGCCAGGGGGAGAAAATTGCCAACAAATTTGTCAGTGAGTACCAGGCTTAAAGCTAGTACAATACTATATTTCTCAAAATATTGTTCCTGTGCAATACAAGCTAAACTTTACAACACAATTTTGCTTCTGTGGAACAAAACACAGTCACAAGTATTCCTCCAGTTTTTGCACAACTAGAGTTAAAACATCAGTATAAATATCCATACCGGCTTTATTTGATGATCTGTTTACATCAATTTGCTCCAATATAGAATCATATTTCTCTCCCATGTATAACTTGCACTGGTTCAACAACAACACCATCATCTGAAAGAGATTGTGGGCCATCAGGGTCTTTGCCATAATGTTGGTCAACAACAGAATCATCCTGTCCACCATTAAAACGTAATGGATTGTTTTCATTGAGCATTCCACTTACCCATATCTGATTAGGACTCCAGCCATTTTCAGTTGAAAGACGATGATTATTGAACATTGCTGCAAAATCATCTAGAGCAGTGTTTATTCTACTAGTAAACACTAAATGTAATGCAAATAGATGTATTGGATTTTCGACATCCAAAATTGCTGTCTGTTCCATAGCATAGAAAGTATAATAAAAGAATTGGCAAACACATCTAAAGACGTCTCTCCAAAGCCTTTCTATCCTTTGATTTCTTGTGGATGAACCAGCTATGAAACTGCCCCGTCCTTCACCTTGTTGAGCAACCATTTCATCACAAACTAACACATTCTCAACACCATAATCTACGCGGATACGAGATGGCCATAATCCATGATTTTCATTGATAGCTTTGTGGAACAGACTCAGGACAGTTTCTGCTAAGTTGTTTGTATTGCACTTCAAATACATGATTTTTCTAGATTTACCATCACAACAACCATGAATGACAAACTTCCATCTGATTAGGGAATGGTGTCCATCTATGTGCCAAAGAGAATTTGGCCACCTTACAAAGTATTTTCGTCTTGCTACCAAAGCACCCCAGCGTAAAGCAGTGTGTTCGGGATCCACCCTGTTCAGAAAAGCTCTAATTCTTCGCCTTTGTACATGATGACCCAATGATCTAAAATAGCCTGACATAAATGGCTCACCAGTGGTTGAACCATGACGCGAAATGTATTCCCTCACAATCTCGTCAATTCCTTCGTCTGAAATAATGGAAAACCTTTGCAAATTTGAAAGGCCATACTCGTTTACGCGACGCATAATAGTCCATCTTGACACGCGAAACATTTCCGAGATCTTGCACCAAGAAAAATTAAGTCCTCGTAATTGTACCAGACTCTCCTTTGGAATGTGATAACCCAGTCTGCCAGGACATTTAGTTTCCTCAATTAACAACGGTAGTTGTTGGCATGTTACGGTAATTCGAGTTGCTTCGCGATTGTAGAGACAAATAAATTCGCTTTCAATTTCACAATAAACGTTCACCAATTGCTGCCATTTCCCTGAATCAGGCTCACCAGCATTCACAACAAAATCTCTTATTTCTTCCAGTAATTGTACTGTCCTACCAAGCAAATCTATATGTTTTAATAGTTCAGAGAGAATGTCTTCGTTTTCCTGCAAACTTATTTCTTCGGACCTTTTTAAGACAAACTCTAAGAAATGTTCCACATCGTCCGCCATCTTAATTTACTGGCATCGCCCGAGAATGTCCGCGGCGTCGGGTAGTCGCCCCAGGAAATTTAAATGATTATTTGCAAAAGTTTAAATGATTATTTGCAAAAGTTTAAATGGTTATTTGAAAAAGTTTAAATGATTATTTGGAAAAGTTTAAATGGTTATTTGCAAAAGTTTAAATGGTTATTTGGAAAAGTTTAAATGGTTATTTGCAAAAGTTTAAATGATTATTTGGAAAAGTTTAAATGGTTATTTGGAAAAGTTTAAATGATTATTTGCAAAAGTTTAAATGATTATTTGCAAAAGTTTAAATGATTATTTGAAAAAGTTTAAATGATTATTTGGAAAAGTTTAAATGATTATTTGAAAATGTTTAAATTCACAAACAAAGCAGTTCAAATCAAAGACATTTTAGCATAAATTTTTTTTTTTTTGGAATGCATATATATATAGGAACACATTAAATATTGCTACAAATGGGCAGGCATACCTTGAGGAGATTGAGAGGTTGATTGCCTTTTTAGTATATGCAGGTTTGGTAAAGGTCAACAGTGAGATTGAAAATTATTGGAATGTAAAAACCTTATATCATGGTCTGTGGGCAATAAAAATAATTTCTCGGTTTAGGTACAAAGTGCTGTAAAGCAAAGTTTCTGAATATGGTAGATCCTGTCACTGAAGACTACAGCAATAAACTACATCAACAACTATACCAGCCATCACAGAAAATTGCTGTTGACGAACACACTATTATTATTATTATTATTATTATTTAATCTTATTTAATCACGGTAGCCTTTCAGAAGTACATCTGTTTTTCAAAGGGCCGTGAGTTCAAAATATTTACATAATTGGAGAGAAAAAAAAAAAAAAAGGAAATCTAAAAGCGAGAAAAACAGGCCACTTACATAAACTATTTACATGGATGCAATTAATTACACTATAGATTAGGACCAATGGATTAGGACATACGTTTTATGACATTCTTAAAGGAGCTGACAGAGACATCTTCTATTAATGCTTGATCAATAATATGATTAGGTAGGTTATTCCAACTCATAGCTCCTCGATAGGGAAAGCTATTTTTTAGAAAATTTGTCTTTGGCTTAGGTAGGTAAATATTTCTATTGTTGCTACGTAATTGATAGTTGCCGTTTTCGTTCAAGTTAATTGTCTGCATTAGGTAGTCGGGCATTAGACCTTTAAGGGCCTTAAATATCATTACAAGGTCGCGCTCGTCTAATTGTCTTTTATAGGTCTCCAGTTTAAGGTTTCAAAAATGTTAGTTGATCGTATGTCGTAACTGGATCCTGTTATTACACGAGCAGCCCTTTTCTGTAACTTATATAATTTATTAATGTGATCAGCGCCAAAACCATGCCACACAGTTGAGCAGTAGGTAAAGTGAGGAAATACAAGTGAATTATACATTGTAATTAAAACATCTTGTGTAACAAAATCTCTAGCTCTTCTTAACATTCCGATACGTGCTGAGATTGTTTTACATTGTTTACTGTTATGTTCTTCCCATTTTAATTGTTCATCTATAATTATGCCTAAGGATTTTGTGCTTTCAACTTGTCTTATTTGCTCGCCTGCGATTGATATGTTTGTAGTATTTGTGCCAATAATCATGTATTCAGTTTTTTACGGTTTAAAGTCAGCTTGTTTGCGGTTAACCATGTGTGAATTATTTCTAAATCGTGATTCAGTTTACTCTCTATATCTGCGGATGATAGTCTGTTACATGATAGGCTTGTATCATCCGCAAACATTGTGGCGCTTGTTGTTACAAGGCAATTTGGCAGATCATTTATATAAAGGAGAAATAGCAACGGGCCTAGATTTGTCCCTTGAGGAACTCCGCAGGTAATTGTCCTTATATCCGACATTTTTTGTTAATTTTACTTATTTGCTGCCTCTTCCTTAAATATGACTGGAACCATTTGTGTGCTGTACCCTTTATTCCATAAGCTGTCAATTTAGATAAAAGAATATTGTGGTCCACCGTATCGAATGCTTTTTTTAGGTCTAAGAATAGTACACCATTAATGAGACCTTGGTCCATGTTTATTAACCATTCATTTGTTAAGCTCAGTAGTGCAGTTTCAGTTGAATGGAGTGATCGAAACCCTGACTGGTTTGGTGATATGATACAGTTTTCGTCTAAATAATCAAGTATTTGTGTATAGACAATTTTCTCGAAAATCTTTGCAATTGTTGAAATTACTGATATAGGTCGATAGTTTCCACAGTCTGATTTTTCACCTGATTTATAGATAGGGGTAACCTTGGCGACTTTCCAATCTTCTGGAAAAATTCCAGTACTTAACGATAGGTTGAATAGATGATTTAGGGATGGTATTATGCTGTCGCCAGCTTCCTTAACCAATTTTGTAGATACGTTATCAAGACCTGGTGACTTGTTAGTTTTGAGGTTCTTAACCACTTTTATTAGCTCATCATAGGTTATGGCATGAAATTCAAATGAAGTTGACACTGGAGTGACATAACTCAAAGGATCAGTATTTGTAATGGGGATGTTACTAGCTAGTGTAGGCCCAACTGAACAAAAATAGTCGTTAAATTCCTGGGCTATATTTACATCACCGGTTATGTCAATCCCATTGACCTCCACTTTATTAACCGTGGTGGATTTGGAGTGTTTATTTAAAAGTTTATTAATAGTTTGCCAACACTCTTTACTATTTTTGCAATCTTTCAGCTTGGCATTAAAATATTCAGTTTTGCATTTCTTAATGAGTTTCGTAACTTGATTTCGGCATTTTTTATAAGCCTTATGGTAGTATTCAGAGTTTAATCTGACGGCTTTCTTTTTGAGATCATCTCTTTGATAGGAAAGAGATTTGATTTGATCTGTTAGCCATGGTGCATGAGCACTTTTAACTCTGCGGGTTTTAATAGGTGCATGAGTATTGGCAACGTCTAGAAAAATTGTTTTCCATTCATTCCATGCAGTGTTTGGTTCAGCAGTAAAGCTGTATGTTTTAAATGTTTCCTGTAAGTCATGCTGGAACGCTGCCGTGTTAAAATTTTTGAATTGCCTTGTCTCGACTATTTTTGGAGGCTGGTTAGGGATACTCACTTTACGGCAAATGTATACAAGGTTGTGATCACTAATCCCTAAGTCTATCACCCCGCTATCAATAGTTTTTGTATCTTCTACTTTAGTGATCATCAAATCTATTAATGTTTTGCTATTTAAGGTAGTTCTTGTTGGTATCTGTATATGTTGCTGTAATTGATATATGTCTAAAAGGTCTGTGAGTTTTTTAGTGGGTGCGTCTTTGTTTGTTGAAAGTAAATCACAGTTAAAGTCGCCGGAAATAACTAAGTCTTTGTTTTCATTCTCCATTAAATGCAGATTATTTTCAAATTTTTCAAAGAGTTCAATAGGGGAGTTTGGTGGTCGATACCATGTGGATATCAGAAAAGGTTTACTTTTAGGTTTTTTAATCTCAACACAAATTGACTCTAAGTCTTGGACGAGTAAATCGTGTCGCTGGATATAAGGAATATTATTTCTGATGTAAATGGCAACTCCTCCGCCGTGCCTATTTCTATCACGGCGTATTATGTCATATCCACTAATCCTGACATCTCGGTCATTGAAACTTTCATCTAGCCTTGTTTCGTTAATTGTAATTATATCAAAAGATAGTTCATTGATAACTATAGTTAGGATGTTAAGATGGCCTATTTTAAAGCCCTTTAGTTTCGGATACGAGTGCTGTTCATAAATAGATGATGAAATAGATTCATGATTTAAATGAAGCCTAGAAGCATTCAGGTGATTTTACTAATGTTGATATGTTTAATAAACAACCAGTTATTTTTTAAACATAAGTTAGCCAACAAGTTATTTGTAGTACTAATTTTTGCATTAAGGTTATCGTCACTTCGAGTGATCAGACTTGATATAATAACTCGACACTTTGAATTTTGCTCTATATGTTGACCAAGATCATTTAGTTTACTTACTATTTCTTCGGGTCGATCCCTTGGGATGTTATTCGTTCCAGCGTGGACAATGATTGCTTTAGGACTTCTCTTTAACGTAGGTTCAACATAATGTTTCATATCTTCAATAGTTGCTCCAGAAAACGTGCGAATAATCACCCTTTTATTGCTGTCTATAGAGCGTCGTACTCTGTTTACGTCTAGCCGCTTTAACATTGAATCTCCAAGGATTGTAACGGAATCAAGGTCGTGGATTGTTGATACATTGCTGGAATTGCAGTCGACTTTGTTGAGGGGATCCTAGTTGTTTTCTTAGACTTTTGTGTCTTTGAGTCGTGCTTTCGGCCATGGCTTGTTGGTCTTGCCTCATCGGCACTTATGATTTCTTGCTCTGACTCGTCTGCCGTCTCAACTTCTAACGGAGAATAACGGTTTGAACCCAGAACGTTTACCAGATTAGGGCCTGCGGCGGTAGTTTTAAGATTATCTTGTTTCGATGATGAATTTCCATTAATATTTCTACTCTTTGGTCTTGAAGCGACTTCTTTGTAGGTATTCTGTGGTAGGTGCTTTGTTGTCATGATGTTATTGTTGTTGTTTAACTTGACATCGCCATCGGACTGTATTAATCGGATAGCAGTTAAAAGGCTAGCCTTTTCGTCTTCGGCGATCTTTAATTTTGTATTGAGGTCGGCCAGGATGAATTCAAGATTATTCATTCTCTCAGTTAGATCTGTATTTTCACATCTCAAACGCTTGTTTTCATCGCGAAGACTACCTGTTCCTGATGCATCATTAGACATTTCAGTTTTGTAGTCTTCGAATTTGCATTGTAAGGTATTTAGTTGCAGTCTAATGTCTTCAATGGCATTCTCGAAGGAATAGGGGTGTTTATAATTTGGGTATAGTTCATGCAGCGAAAATTGGTTTTCGTCTTTGCTATGATCTTGTTCATCGTCCTTACAGTCGTCTTGTTCTTTGTCTTTGGCCAATTCCATATTTCCTTCGGCTTTATTTTGTTGTTCATCGTCGTTGCTGTCGTTCGCCGCTTCAGGCTCTACAATTTCCAAACTCGACAGAAGTCGATTGACCAAGACTTGTTTTATACCTTTCGTATCAAGGTGCCTTTTTGTTAGTTCAGCTTGAAGCTCTGGCACTTTCATTTTAATAATCATCGACACTGTTGGATTATCGCTCATATTTAACATGAAATATACAGTTAGCTGAGGAGCGATTCTAGACACGTCTGTCCCGCTTGACTGCCACGCTCATTGCACGATATACATATATATATATATATATATATATATATATATATATATATATATATATATATATATATATATATATATATATATATATATATATATATGT